AAAGTATACCTAAAAGAGTGTGTAGAATCCAAAAATGCAAAAAAATATAGGGTGTTCCATTGAAAATAAGAAAGTTGGTATCGTCCCAAGGAAAACCGAACACCCTGTATAAATGAAAATATAATATTTTAAAAATATTTTTTACTTCGTGAATATTTGTTTCTTACAAATTTTTTGTGACTCCAGTAGTTTCTGAGATAAGTATATGGGTCACCTTACGTGGATCACCTAAAAAAAATATTCGCATTTTACAAAATTAGTAGCTTTGCGCGTATGGTAATTATTATAGTAATATATATTTATATATAAAAGCATTTTTATTTGTTGTTATTGAAATTTTTTTATTTGAATAATGAAAATTTAACTAAGGTAATTGGAAAAAAGCTACTAATTGTGAAAAATGCGAATATTTTTTTTTCTGGATTTAGGTATAGGACATATATATATAAAATGAAAGGTAATTACTTATTCTATCCAATTATGCAAAAATATATAGGGTGTTCCATTGAAGAAAAACAAGATTTTAAACTTTTAAAATCGCTATTTTCAACGGGACATAGAAAACATCCTGTATGATATTTTCCAAAAAATATAATAATTAACTTATAGCTTACTTATTATTAAAGAGATGGATACTACATAATATAAAAAATAATAACTTTTAGTTGATTATTTTTAACTTTTAGCGAGTGTCTACATTTAGAGAAATTTTAATAAATCTTAACTTTACTCAAAAAGTATTAACATTTTCTTAATTAATATATATACAAAGTATACCTAAAAGAGTGGGTAGAATCCAAAAATGCAAAAAAATACAGGGTGTTCCATTGAAAATAAGAAAGTTGGTATCGTCCCAAGGAAAACCGAACACCCTGTATAAATGAAAATATAATATTTTTAAAATATTTTTTACTTCGTGAATATTTGTTTCTTACAAATTTTTTGTGACTCCAGTAGTTTCTGAGATAAGTATATGGGTCACCTTACGTGGACCACCCTGTACTATGAGTTAGTATCGTTTATTAAATTAAAACCAAATAGAGGTACCTACAATCTAGGTCCTACATAGATTGGATACTGTTTCGACATAACAAAAAAGGATAATTTCTTTGGCGATGGTTTTAGTGCTCAACCTACCGTAGAGCACGCCATCCTTTCATGAGAAAAGAAATATTATGTGGGCTTAAAATTCCCACATTCGACAATAAAACAAGATTAAGATGGGAAGATACGCCAAAAGACTAATTTAGATCAACCTTCGTTAAAAAAAAGATTTTAGAAAATAGATACAAAGCTGCCAAAATCTTATATTTATTTGTTATTATACACTAAGTGTTTTAATTAAATTTAAGTAATTATAGTGGGTTCTTTGTTTTAACACGACAGTACATTTATTGTAAAATGTTGGGCACCATTTATTACGGAAATGGTGGATTACTTACTGCACAACGTAAAAAAACAAGTGCATGAAACTCGTTTTTAAAACTACATGGTTTCGTTACTTATACCGGTATAAGTCACCAAACTTACAACTGTATGACACATTACAATTTTTTTAGAAAATTAATTTTGGTACGTACCTTATGCTTTGCCTTTTTTAGACGATTGTATTTTAATTACTACGATGTCGTATTATATCACATTTATAAAAAATTACAAAAAAGTAATTAATTAATTAGAAAGATGACAGACAAAATATTAGTCTTGCTCAAGAGCGTTATTAACTTGTTTATAAAATTAATTCTTATGGATAAAACAATTGTATGTAATCATTATTAATTACAATTCTTTGAAGTAAATTAGTATAAGGTATGTTAATAAATGTTATTAGAAGGGAATATAATTAGTTTTTAGTTCTTGCGATTTGTTAAAAACATCGTTAACATATTATTTGTATACATATAATACAATGTATCTTTCAAAACGCAGTATTTAAATTATTGTCCACCAAGCATTACATTCCTCAAATGCAGCTGAATTCAATGTGCCATAGCCATAGCGTTTCATTTAAATTGCAAAGTTTGCCATCAACATGAAATAAATATGAATATTTATCTCATGGCATAAATATCTGAACTAGAAATAGTTTTCTTTGAAAATGTTTTCAACTGGTTTAAATCAAATAATGCGTTTTAAAAGATACTTCTCACATGTGTATAGGAACTTTAATATTTCAAAATATTATTAAGTTAAAGCATTTCAATAAAAACTAAATGTATACCTACCTAGATTAGTCACAGAACTATAAATATAAAAATCTCGGAAAAAATTAAATTAAATTATTCAAAAATATTATTCTTATTTATAAATGAATTACTTTCGTTTGCTGCGAAAAACTTATAAATATCATTTTTAACATTTCTTGTTTACAATCTATAAAATCATTTAGCACCTTGACAAAGAACTCAATAATTTTAATTTAACATGCCCACATTAAATTTTAACAAATATTGTTTGTTTTGCAATTTGTTTGGCTTGTGCCATGCCTGTACATAATAACGACTCTTTGTCTTTCTTAAATGTTGCTCCAAATTGTGGTTATTATCAACTTTATTTATCGAAATTTATTGTTAAAATCACTCACCTATAGAAAGCCAGATAGCATTATAAGTGTTTCATGCAGCTCGCTGAAACATAACGATAAAAATATCAGATATACATATCGAGCATAAAGGTCAGTTTTACAAAGTCTTTGTCGTGGTATACTTAAAGAATAGTTTTGTTTGAAAATTGGAATATATATAAACAAAACGCTATTTTAACTTTACACATCTTATGCAAAAAAGAAGCTGTAACCTTAAAAACTTTTTACCCCTTATTGAAAGTAGATAATTTTTATACACTGCAGTGCATGCACTTAAAAAAGTTTTTCCTTGGTTAAAAAATACATTAATTTGCATAAAACTAAATATTTTAAATTAATATTACTGACATCTATTGATACAAGTATCAACATTTTCTTTGCAGGGTGTCCAGAAAATATCGCACTAACTCCATACCAGTTATTTTAAGGTGTTAAATATTTTCATCAAAAAATATATATTTGTAGGTAATTCCAATTCTACAAACTTTTAAAATTATAGTTATGAAAAAATTATTTAAAAATTAACCAAGATTGAGAAAAATCGCTACGAGGCTGAGCGCAAGAATTTGATAAAGGTGTTGAGAAGGATGATGAGGATGATTTTGATGATTGTGATTATAAGGATAATGATGAATGAGGATGTTAATAAGGATGAAGCCACAGCATTCATAAATTAGCCATTCTACTCACCACCAACTGCCTGTTTCAGTGAAAGAATGATTCTTGATCAAACTTCGCCCTTTTATCTATTTTTTTTTGTCAAACAAAGCCGTTTATTATTAAAATTATTATTATTTAAACTTTTTCTCAAGAAAGTATTATCAGAATCTGTAAGATGAATAACACTATAACAACTTGGCCGATTTATTTTTTGCACACGTATTCTTTAAACAATTATCTAGTCTTTATATCTGTTTTTTTAAATTTTTTATTACCAAAAAATGGCTTGTTTTTTGGTCCGATTTTCGCCTCGAGCTCTATTTAAATTCGCCATTTCGTTTAAAATTAAATTTAAAAAAACGGCTATGATAAAGACTAGTTTTATTTTTATTATATATTATTTTATTTGACGAGTTTTTTTTGTTTCAAATGAACCCAACCGCACAACGTTTTTTTCATCGGCAAAATTAATTATTTGTAGTTTTTTTTTCAAAATGAATAAACTATTATATTGCGGTAGATACATTTGGACATCATTTTTATTTTAATTTCTTTTTATTTTTTCGTTTTTATTAAATAAAATTTTTTAAAAAACACCATATTTTAAAATATGTAAACCCTTAAGTATAAACAAATTCTTGATGCAGCCTGTATAAATAAATATCCTTAAAAATAAAAAAAAATAAAATATTTAATTTTTGAACCTTTTTAACTCGAAAACTATTTGGCAGGAAGGAATGTTGTATTTTTTAATAATACTTAAAATAACCCTCTCAACTGTTAGTGGGCCATTTTCGGGAAACCCTATATAATTATTATTTTTACTTGTGTTTTTAAATTGACATAATAAAAAGTTTTATACACGTCCATTAATTACGTGAGATAAAAATAGGGGGGGGGGGTCTAGCAAAATCTCACCAAATCTCATGTTAAGGGAGGGGGGATCATTAAAAATCTCGGGTCAACTTTTGGGTTTAAAGAGTATGTAATATAATTCTGGGTTTATTATGTTGTCGTGGGGGGGTCTACCACATCTCAACAAATCTCACCAAGGGGGAGGGAGGGGTCCAAATTATCAGAAAAATGCTTCAAGTAATGAATGGATGTCTCCTAAAGTGTTTTTGCACTCGCATGCACAAAGTAATGATTATCCGTACGAATTTGCTTGCCCAAAGTTGTACTATTCCACAGTGTGGAATCCACACGCTTACTTTGCGCACGCAAATACGTCGTTCGTGCAATTGCAGTAGCGTGCAGAAAATATAACTTTGCGCACTTGTTTGGAAAATAACTATTCTCGAACAGATTGTAATTTAACGGAAAATGTTGAATATATATAACCACTGCAATAGATTACATAAATACTTTTTTTAACCAAAATTTAGACCTCTTAAGGGTCTTTGTCAAATTTAGTTATTGTAAATTTATACTAGTTACTTTTTATATATTTTTTTACTTCCTTCGCATTGTATCTTGTGATATTAAAATAAGCTGCTTATGGTAATAAAAATTTAAGAGTCTGACAATTGTACGTAAGCCCTTCGAGGAATACAAATTAGAAATGCACTTGTGAATTCACAACGTCCATATGGTACGTTTGATGAATTACAAACCTGTTCATTGGCCACACCGGCCACTTGTTCTGAAAAGAACAAGCCCCTTAGCACCGCCACGAAATAAACAGATAGACAAATAAAAGCGTATCTAATCGTAAAGGAAACGGCATGTGTCTGACGCGCGTCATTTTCTGTTACAGGTGCTGTGGCATCTGGACATCTTCCGCAGGAGCTTTCGGGACCTTTCTGGACACGCCTGCATGACGGACTCCTGCATCTTCTGCGCCCTCAAGGTAGGTTTTATTTAATTAAATGTGTGTCAAGGCACTTACAACATTGATATTTGATACCACACAAAACATATGGCAGGAACAAAGTACTTAAAACTATAAGTATTAATCGGAAAGAGCCCTCGTACAAATTAAGGTAAAAAAGTTAAAATAAACAAAAATTAAAATATAATAATAATGTAAGTTTGGCAAAAATATAAGAATTAAAGAATATCTAATTTACCTTTTATAAAATGTTGAGCAAATTTGGTTATTTAAAGAACCATCACCAAGTTCAAGTTCTTATTAATTGTTTATTTTTAAGTTTAGGGTGGGTATGCAATCAGAAGAAAAAATGCCACCAATTTGCTCATTTAACCGACTTTGCAGCTCCAATAATAACGGAGATAAAATGGTAACAATGGTGAGCAGACTCAAAACTAGTTAATCTTTTTTAAACAAGTAAACATTTCGTCTAATGCCACATTTCTTCAGGGAACAAACAGAAATATTCACCAAACACGGTCCAAACTTGAAAATGTACTTTTTCTTAATGAAAGCCTCAGATTTAAAATAGTATCCTTTTATTTTGAAAATGTTCCCCTGAGTCCAATTTATTTAAGAGATCTGTGGATATCTTACTTTACTAAATCATAGTATTTTATGTAACAGGACAAGAAAAACTTTTTTTTCTCAGGATTTCCTGTAAAGAAACTTTTCAAACCCACACATTGTCGGTGTAATTAAATTATTTTTGCATAAGCAATTATTAGGTATTTAATGCACCTGTTAAGATTACAAGCACGTGACTGTTTTAACAAGGACGTTATAAACATTAATTAAGAAATGCATTTTACATCAGTTTATCTGAATTGCAAGGAGATGCAGGAAATAGGATCTGGTCTTACAGAGAAATATATCATTATTAACATACTTTACCTTTTTTTGTGAAAAATGTTGATTTATAGTATACTTTGTTATTTTTATTTTCATTATAATTTACTACGAAGGCGTAGAAGGGCCAACAAAAATTTTACAAATTTTAGCCAAAACTAACTTTGATTTTTGCAATTTCTATTCTATAATTGTAACTTGAACCTACAATTGTAACTTGAACCTACAATTGTAACTTGAACTTACAATTGTAACTTGAACCTACAATTGTAACTTGAACTTACAATTGTAACTTGAACCTACAATTGTAACTTGAACCTACAATTGTAACTTGAACTTACAATTGTAACTTGAACCTACAATTGTAACTTGAACTTACAATTGTAACTTGAACCTACAATTGTAACTTGAACCTACAATTGTAACTTGAACCTACAATTGTAACTTGAACCTACAATTGTAACTTGAACTTACAATTTTATCTTGAACCTGGGCCAAAAAAATCAACTATTTTTTTTTAAGTATATCGAAAATATGGTAGGTATATTAAGAGGTCTATCATCGCAATTTTAATTTTTTTTTCCTCAGCAAGTTTTTGTCTCAGAACTCCCAAACCATTGAGTTTAACAAAATCGGCTCGAAAATATTATTTTAAGAAAATTAAATGCTCTAAATTATAGTAGATAATAAATTGCACCACTTTAATTTGAATTATCTTAAATAGGGGGGCCTGGAGGCGGGTGAGGCGACAGGAAAAACTAACTTTTTTTCTCAAACTTCAATTTAAATTCTGTTTGAGCCGAACTTGTCTATTTAATATCATTATAAACTATTATAAATTTGGTTTGGGTCCCATGTCTAATAACTGAAATATTGGTATACCCAAAATCCACCAGCCGCCACTGCAATATTCCAAAGTTAAAAGAAATTGTAAAACTAAACCAATTTTTAAGGCATGATTGTAAGAAAACGGTTCATCTGACGGGAAATTCCAATTAAACCTTTTTTGTAGAACATTCAATTTTCTTCAAAAAATATTCTTAAGTCAATTTTGTTAAACTCAATGATTTGGTAGTTCTGAGACAAAAACTCGCCCAGGAAAAAAAAATCTTAATATTAATATTATGGACTCAAACTTTCACAATATTTTTTTTTGTCACCCCAAACCATATTTTCGATATACTTTTCAAAAAAAAATAGTTGATTTTTTTGGCCCAGTCTATTGAACCTACAATTGTAACTTGGACTTACAATTGTAACTTGAACTTACAATTGTAGGTTCAAGTTACAATTGTAAGTTCAAGTTACAATTGTAAGTTCAAGTTACAATTGTAGGTTCAAGTTACAATTGTAGGTTCAAGTTACAATTGTAGGTTCAAGTTACAATTGTAGGTTCGAGTTACAATTGTAAGTTCAAGTTACAATTGTAAGTTCAAGTTACAATTGTAGGTTCAAGTTACAATTGTAGGTTCAAGTTACAATTGTAGGTTCAAGTTACAATTATAGAATAGAAATTGCAAAAATCAAAGTTAGTTTTGGCTAAAATTTGTAAAATTTTTGTTGGCCCTTCTACGCCTTCGTAATTTACTTAATAAGCATTATAAAGAATTACTAATTTAATGTAAGCCTTTCTGGTTTCTTTAAAAATATATTTGTATTGCCAACATTTAAAAAAATAATAAACAAACTTACCAATACTACCATCTCTATGATTCTACTTATGAATTAATACGCAATATTTATTTGTAAATGTACAGACAATTTTATAATTATTTTTATAAAAATATATTAAATATTTGCACTTTCTGATTCTCAATATTTTTCTTCTGAATTATTAAAAAATGTAAACTATTTAGAACCCTTAAAAACCTTTTAAGGTTTATATTTTTACAATAATATTATCAATAAAAAAAACATTTTGGAATGACATAATTTAAAAAAAATTTAAACGTAAAAATATTTTTTATCTTTAGTAAAAACATCACAATATTGTGGGTGGACCAAAGATTAAAAAATGGTAACATGTTGGCGTATTTTTTGTTGCTTAGCTTATTTTAATTATAATTTACTTAATTAATCTTTAAAAAATGTATAATATTAGGTATACCTATATGATAAATATTAGGTATACATGTATATATGTATATATGATAAATATTATGTAATTATCATACTTAATATTTTAGTCGATTTCAACAAAATGTACCTACCTACATTATAAAAATTTATCCTTAACAATCGACTAAAAAGTATTTTGTTATTTTAGTAGTAAAATGGTACCTTTAAAAACAATTTTTACTTCTTAGGTTAATACTTTTATTACAACATAAATCATATATAAAAATCATGGGCAATAACTATTTTTTCTACTACCTTACTAGAAACCTTAATTTCCCACCCCCAAGCGAGGGAGGAAAATGCCTCTTTTCCTCCCTCTTTTTTTTAATCAATTTTACATTAGCAAGAGTTTTTGTAGGAAAAAGATTTACTCCGCGCTTGTCCAACCATTCTTTGAACAAACTATATTCATTTATATTTATATTACTTGCAATAATATTCACTTTAGTGAATACTCTAAGATGTTTAAATAGCATTAAGTATACTTAATGCTATTTAAACATCTTAGAGTAAAAAAACATCCTGCTTTTTTATATAGTTCTTTCTCTCTATATTTTTTATTCTCTACGTCCGGAGTACCATAAGCCTCTCCCTCAGTAATGGATTTGGTCTGAGCCGTGGCTCTTTTAACCAGTCACCAGTAGATAATTTTAAATCTTGAAACATCCACTAAATCGATTGCACAAATCACAAAATACCTCGCTGAAAGGTTGCGATTTTCTCCTTCATGTGCTGTGCATCGCTCCATGAAAAAGTCTGAAAATAGTTGACTTTGACCCAGGAGGGATAAAATGGGGCTCCATCCTGGGTCAAAGTCAACTATTTTCAGACTTTTTCATGGAGCGATGCACAGCACATGAAGGATAAAATCGAACTCCTTTTATCTAGTTGAGAATATATTCCAAATATTACAAAAAAAGCCCATTTGTGGTAATATTTTAAAATAGAAGTGGTTAAAATAATCCCTCAAGTTTGTCCCTTAATTTTTGTCCCCTAGGTCACGTCTCCTGGGTCACAGCTTTTGAATTGAGAGCACATTTTTTGGTGGTGCCCCCTTGCGGCAATGTATTTGGTAACGGATTTTAGTATACTAAAATCCTATAGGAAATGGTGTTTTGAACTATCTTAAAGCCACAACACGTTTTTTTGTATTTTTATATACGAGCGTGGCAAAAATGTGCATTCTCCTGTGTCACAGTAATAAAAAGTAGTAAAGGTACCAGTTGGACTTTGTTTGATTCTCAAAAGTATCCTATAGGATACTTTTGAGAATTACTATAGTAATGGTTTTAACTTAAAACTGTTAAGGGCAAAAATACAAATTTGTATCTATAAAACAGTAAAGAGGATGTATTCTAAAAACATACATATTTCCCCTGGGTCACACGTCTCCTGGATCACATATTGTGTGTGACCCAGGGGAAACTTATGTGACCCAGGGGACAATTCCAAAGAAATAAATTATAATATATTTTTGAAATAATAATGAACTTATAGGACAGTTTTAAAAACATTTTTTTTCACCTTTTCTGTTTCTGACAGTACGTAGCCAATTTAAAATAATGCCATCCACCTATTTAATAATAATTTTCCTAGTATGTATTTTGCCTCAAAGAAGCTGGAAAAAAATTGTTGGTAGTTGAACGAAACAATGTTTATATTGACTTTTTATTAATATTTTATTAATATTACTAATAACTAAAACTTTTTATTAATTTGTTGCTCGTAAAATTGGACAAGCTGGGCCCAGATAAAAAATCGTGATAAAACTTTTTTAATACGTATTAAAAAAACTCACTTTTTTAATGGACATTTTTAAAATACAGAATAGTATATTCTGTAACAAGTGAAACCGTCAAACTCGCCTTCGGCTCGTGTGACAAACTCTTCACTCGAGCGGAATATGCAATTCCAAACGTGTTTCAGATTATACTTTTTCTACGTTTCCAAAAAATACCATAGAAAAATAATTTAATTAAAAGAAAGTAAGGTTGGATCGGTCTAAAATTTGT